ACCAAACTAAGACTTTAGGAGTGGGTTGGTATAATAAAAGTGATGAACTTCATTTTACCACACGAGTAGTTAGACGGAATTTACTAAATAAACGTACAATGTTGTCGATAATCGCACAAATATACGATCCTCTAGGAATTTTAACACCGGCTGTCGTAGTAGCTAAAATATTGATGCAAAAAGTGTGGTTGTGCAAGATAAATTGGGATGATCCCGTTCCCAGTGATGTTGCTTTATCCTGGGAAAAATTTATTGACACACTTCAATATTTGCATAACCTACGTATTCCGCGTCATGTTATGAGTGCACACACACAGTTTATAGAATTACACGTATTCACGGACGCGTTGCAGAGTGCGTATGGTGCATGTGCATATGTTCGCACCTACTCTGATGACTCATCGGTGACTATTAGATTATTGTGTGCAGAGTAAAGTTGCACCAATTAAACCAGTCAGCATACCCCGACTAGAACTGTGCGGGGCTTTAATAGGCGCACGATTATATAGGAAAATTATCGATTCATTGGGTGTTAATTTCCACAAAGTTTACTTTTGGACAGATTCAACTATTGTCCTTGGATGGCTACGTACGTCACCACATTCGTTAAAAACATTCGTTCAAAATAGGATAGTGGAGATTAATGAAATAACAAATAATGCGTTATGGTTACATGTAGGAACCAAAAATAACCCAGCGGATCTGGTCTCGCGCGGTCTTAGTCTTGATGACATTGACAGTAATCTGTGGTGGAGCGGACCTGAGTTCTTAAAAAAATTCTGAGTCGGCATGGTCACAGCAATCTTCGACTACACACTCCGACTTACCAGAACTAAAATCACAAACGACAACGGTTATGGTTTGTGATGGAACAAAGAATAAAATTATTAATTTTGAAAGGTTTCGTTCTTATCAGCGTATCGTGCGCGCCGGCGCTTACCTGTTGCGATACATACATAACTTACGCACACCAAAGAAAGATCGTACACAGGGGCCGTTATCAGTAGATGAATTGAATGACTCATTACAGTCGTTAGCGCGTCTTGCTCAACGCGAATCGTTTCCGATGGAATATGATAAGTTAAAACGTAACTTACCCTTAAAAACTTCAGGTTCGATTTCTAGGCTTAATATATTTCTATATGAAAGGGATATAATTAAAGTAGGTGGCCGTCTTAGTAACTCGCCTGACTTTAATTACGACAAGAAGCACCCGATACTTTTATCAAGTAAACAAAACTTCACACAATTGTTGTTTCAACATCAACACAAAGAGCTTCTTCATGCTGGTCCCCAGCTGCTATTGGCCACCGTGCGTGAGAATTGGTGGCCGTTAGGGGGTAGAAACCTAGCTAGAAAGGTTGTCCACCAATGTGTTCGCTGCACTCGAATGAAAGGTAAAACCCTAACGCCAATCATGGGCAACCTTCCGTCTGAACGAATAGAACCTGGTTTCCCATTCGTTCGATGTGGAGTGGATTGTGCGGGTCCCATAAACGTACTGAATCGCAAAGGAAGGGGAGCTAAATTGGAAAAGGGTTATATTTGCATATTCGTTTGTTTTGTTACCCGGGCCATTCATCTAGAACTTGTCAGTACGTTAGCTGCTCAAGAATTTATATTAGCACTTAAAAGATTTATCTCACGACGAGGTAAACCAGCTCAAATTTTCTCAGATAACGGTAGAACTTTCATTGGAGCCATGAAAGAGATTAACAAAATGTTAGAGCGAAATTCAAAGCAAATAATTGATAAATTATCAACTGACAATATTGAATTTAAATTTATTCCCCCCTTATGCTCCTCATTTTGGGGGATTGTGGGAAGCAGGAGTAAAATCATGTAAGTTCCACCTTAAGCGTGTCGTGGGTACCGCTAACTTGACGTACGAGGAGTTCAGCACTGTGTTGGCACAGATCGAAGCAGTCCTAAACTCCCGTCCTATAAGTCCTATGTCCTCAGATCCACATGATCTTCGTCCATTAAGCCCAGCTCATTTCCTCATCGGCCGACCACTCACTGCACCAGCCTGCAGAGACCTCACCGAAGCACGGACTCACAGCTTGAAACGGTTTCAAAGAGTGGAACAAATAAAACAGCACTTCTGGAAACGCTGGTCACAAGAGTATGTTGCTGAACTTCAGACAAGAACGAAGTGGAAGGCGAACAGTCAAGACATAGCATTAAACACGCTTGTCGTTATTAAGGAGGACAATTTACCACCCCTTAAATGGCGTATGGGCAGAGTTACCCATATTTTCCCCGGAAAAGACGGCGTGTCGCGTGTCGCCACCATCCAAACTGCTACGGGTCCTGTACAACGAGCGTTCTCGAAAATCTGCCCTCTGCCTGTATCATCAGCAGAGGACGACAACATGAATGCAGCCTGCGGTATCTCCAATCAAGCGGCAACGTAGATACATCATTGGAAGCTGGAGCTTCCAAGGCGGCCGGCATGTTGGCGCGACTTCTAACGCCGCCTAGCGACGCACCGGAACACCAAACTTTTCGCTACGAATCAGAGCTCGTCATTGTTAGCAACCAATCACAGCACGTCGTGCAATTAGTTATAAGATCTGTCTGTTTTAAATTTTGATTATTACCTGATACACACTGTTAGCAATAAGACGACTTAAATATAACCAACAAATGTTCAATAAATCAATCATTGAAGTGCACCTGCCTCCCGTTCCTGTACATCGTCAAATTATAAAAAGAGTTGTTTCACAAAATGTTGGTCTTCCACATATTCCGTTATTACAGCTTATAAAAGTCCACAGCTGAACATAGCCCTCTCAGGATAAAGGCAGATATGTTATGGGATATACTTATATTGTTGGTCTTAACCAAAGACCTATACTATGGTCTTAACGTACGTTAAAAACTACGTGGTAGGGCCATACTCTATCTATATTATACGGTTGTAGCACGAAGGGTCGGTTCGACCAATGAAAACCATGCTCTTACAGAACACCAGCGTGAAATAACAGGTTAATGCTAATATGTTTCATATGCCGAGTGTAGAGAACCAGAGACCCTTTTTATTGGAAACAAGGCATTATACCTTAGTCCTCAGGGGTGGCGACGCATTCGCATTTTGATTCTTAATCGAGTATCTATATTATGTGGATGTCTATGGACCATAACATCCATTTACCATCAGATAAACTATAAGCTCCTTTGTCAACCTTATTCTATAAAAAAATATTTATGATACAGAACACCTTTTTCTGCCGATTACGTCATCTTCTGCACGTTGTACACCCTGCGAATTGGGATGAAACTCTGTCAGTCGACAAACGACCGTATTATATGCATTTAAAATACCGTAACTCGTAAACCTATTCCCACCACGCTGTGCTTCCCTTGAGTCCCCACGGATTATATAAAGCTATTATTTCCTTGGGTAAGGGTGACAAACGAGCACTCAGTCCATTTAATGTTAAGTGGTTTCTGTGGCCTATAGACATCTACATCTATCCTCGATTATTAATCAAAATGCAGATGCGTTGTCACCCGTGAGGACTTATATGGAATGCCTCGTTCTTAGTAAAAAGGGTCTCCGGATCTCTACACTCACTATAAGAAACACAGCGGCATTCAGCTGCTATTTCACGCTGGTATTCTGTGAGAGCGTGGTCCTTCCTTGGTCGAGCCGACCCATTCGTTTTTTTTTTTTTTTTTTTTTTTTTTTATAGAATAGGGTGACAAACGAGCACACAGTCCACCTGATGGTAAGTGGTTGCTGCGGCCCATAGACATCTACATCTATCCTCCATTAAAAATCAAAATGCAGATGCGTTGTCACCCGTGAGGACTGAGATGGAATGCCTCGTTTCCAGTAAAAAGGGTCTCCGGTTCTCTACACTCACCATACGAAATACAGCAGCATTAAGCTACTATTTCACGCTGGTATTCTGTGAGAGCGTGGTCCTTCCCTGGTCGAGCCGACCCATTCGTGCTACAACTGTACTACTAATATAGCTGCTGCATGGCTCTATCACGATATATAAATTATTCTTAATCCTCACACTTGACAAAAAGATTGACAATCGCAATACCAAACTTTTCGCACCATTGTAACAGTTGTCCCTTAACGATCTCAGTACAGAATAGATATTGCAATAAACGAGATGGTATATTCCTATCTATCGAATTCCATGAGATTCTGATATATTTTTTATAGAATAACGGTGACAAACGAGCACACAGTCCACCTGATGGTAAGAGAAAGCTGTGGCCCATAGACATCTACATTTATCCTCGATTAAGAATCAAAACGCAGATGCGTTGTCACCCCTGAATATTAAGATAAAATGCCTTGTTTCCAGTAAAAAAGGGTCTCCGGATCGCTACACTCACCATACGGAACACAGCAGTATTAAGCTGCTATTTTACGCTGGTATTCTGTGAGAGCGTGGTCCTTCCCCGGTCGAGCCGACCATTCATGCTACAACCGTAATATAGCTACAGCGTGGCTCTGCCACGTATAATATATTTCCTATAGTCGACTTTCGACATTCACTAGAGAATATTAGGGTGACGGAGTCTCCTACGCCCACAAAATACTATTTGCGGGCTTTACGCCGTACACATGTCACAGACCTGTGCCATGTGGTGGCGGCGTAAAGGGATGTCCATGTCTAATAGGGAGAATTTTGCCATAGCTACCCCGCTTGGCAGACGAGGCTTTATTATTTTTATTTGTTATTAGGAAGATGCTACTGCTCATCATCTTTTTTAGTTTCCCTCCTGTCACCTCTTACGACACCCACAAGACCATATAGGAATGCACACAATTTAAACACGCAAATAATTCATATACCGAGTTAAATAGTTGTAAAAAGCACAAGGCACGTGTACTCGCATTGTGCTAAGCCCTGTGAAAAGCTCACACGCATAATTTTCGTCTATGGTTAGAAGTTGATCGTTTATGAGCTGACAAGAAAACAGCGTATTATCAAAGTACTGTGGTAATTATAAATGATTTTTTTTACTACCTATATGATGTCTCCATTATGTTTATTTCCTTATCGTGGTTTTCTTGCAATGATTGAATTAATTGCAGTAATTGTTTTTTCTCTTTATTACGAGGGCTTTCTTCATTGCCTTTAGGACCAATCTCAGAACTGTACGCTAGATCATCGGCGTCATCTTGCACGATATCATTAGATCCTAAGAGTTCCTACAATTAAACAAAATATTTTTAGCGTTTTTGAAAGTGTTATAATAAATATACATAGAGGTTACTTTCTCTAAGGCTAATATCCAGGCCAGATAAGACTTGTTACATCTGTATAGACACTGAAACTTATAGTATCTACTTACTTTTATTCTTTGCGCAATTCGATCTTGATGTGCGTTTATTATAGCTTGCATCTGAAGTCTGTGATTTGCTTGCCGCTGTAGCATGGCGTCCAGTTGTGCGTGCTGGGCGAGAGCAGCCTCACGTTGAACTCGTTGGGCTTCTTTTTGCTTTTCTATAATTTTGATATTATACATAATATTACCACGTTTAGGTGTTAAATGTTTCATTACATAATGGAAAATCCGTGTTATCGGTGTAGTCCGCTACCCCATATCTTCCCTTGGGTGCCGTAAGAGGCACAGAGGGTAACAAATCAGGAGATGGGCAGCAGCGTCTTCTAAATAACGACTAAAAATAAATAAATAAATATAATAATAATAAGCTATATAGTAAATATCCCCTCTATGTGGCAATTTATGGAGGAGACCTATGTTCAGCAATGAATTTTAATAGGCTGTAACGGAATATATTGTTTCTACTTCTATAGACATAAATAAACAGTCCGTAAACACAGACCTAACACAAAGTTACACATTACGAATTTGTATTTAATTTTATATGTAATCATCATTTGACGTCGACAATTGTATGAAATAAATGTACTCTAGTGTGGTCTTTTTTGATTGTGACACGATTTATTAATGATTTCTTAAATTTACGCGAACACTACACATTGAATAAAACTATTATTTACGGATTTTATCGCGTTTAATTACTTTATTTTTATTATTATCCCGACGTTTCGGGTGCTTTACAGCACGGAAGTCTGCAGTCTGTGAACATGTTCAGGATCGTCCCCACCATTACATCAGATTTGATAAACCACAAGTCCTCGCAAAGGAACACCGATTCCTACCTAGGATGATACGTGAGGCTATTGAAATTAAAAAACATCCTAATTTCAATAGAGAAGATGGTTGGGTGCTGCCATCTGCTTCGGATCCTATAATTAACAAAATTAAACCCAAACCTAAGCATACCACTGCAAGACTTCAAGATACTGTAAGTTCGTTTTGTGTAAATCGGACCAAAAATTAATATACAAAAACTGAAGGTAGCCGGGCTAACAATGACATTGGGACGTCAAACATCTCAGTCCCCCCGTGACCATGGGTGCTGTAAAGCACCCGAAACGTCGGGATAATAATAAAAATAAATTAAAGTAATTAAACGCGATAAAATCCGTAAATAATAGTTTTATTCAACGATTTATTAATTACAAAAAGTATTTCTAAAATAATTATAGTTATATACATAGTTTATTAACATTTTAAACTATGTTTTCTTTAAATAGTTATAAATGCGCTCGATATAAATTTCACAATACGCACGCCACCTGGGTTCATTCCCCGCCGGCACTAATGAAACTGTTAATTGCAATTTTAAGTGATGATTTACCTTGCTTTACGTGCTCGGCGGCGAAGTAAAACATCGTAAAGAAACCTGTGTCTTAGAAAGAAGAAAAAAATATTTCGAAGACATGTGAAGTTCGGCAACATGCCATGGAACAGCGCCACGGACATTTCTTGCCCTAGGTACAACACGGAATGCATTGTAATTTTATCAAAAGAAATCTGTGAAAATATGTATTTGCTAACATCGTGTTCGATGCATCCAAGAGTACCTTTATATTTTGCGTAATCACAAATATTATTAAAAATCACAGCTGTGCCTGTGCCTCAAGCCAAAACAGGTGAGTCGATTTAAGAGTAGTACGCGGTGTCAAAATCGCTAAAAGAACACGGCGTTGCATCTACGGCGTTGGATCTCTACACTCACCAAACGAAACGCAGCAATATTAAGCTGCTATTTTATGCTGGTATTCCGTGAGAGCGTGGTCCTTCCCCGGTCCAGCCGACCCATTCGTGCTACTCCCATAATATAGCTCTACCACGTATAAATGTCTATAACTTAATCATAACTGTCATCATTTGGGAAACACATTGTTATTGATTATAGGATTAACACTTGTATTTAATATCTGCGTCTGTGGCTGTATAAAAAACCAGGTAACTAGTAAAAGTGTAACAAAAGTTACTTACGTTGCATTGCAGCAAGTTTTTCGTCTTGAGCTTTTAATTGTAAAGCAACCATTAACTGTGCTTCTTGTTGTTGTAAATAAACAGCTGTTCCCTGTATCGTAACATCTTCAGAGTCTTTTTGAACTTCGGCATTGTCAGGTACTGTAGTTATTATTTTTTCGAAGCCTCTGTCTGATTTTATTTCTTTCATCTTTTCTTTTACCGCCTCCTCCTTAGTCACAGTTTCATTTTCCTTTGACTGCGGAATATGTGATAATGTTTCTTCAACTTCTTTTTGATTCCGTGATTTATTATCTTTATCAGACGTCTTTGTTTTCAAACTACTTCCTCCCAACCAAGACGGCATTTCATTACCATCCTCTTCAATATTCTCATCTTTATCTTGAAAAATTCCTAACCAATCTTCATCCGATTTTTTTTTATTTTGTTTGATGGATTCATTTTGTTGTAATTTATTTACTGAATTAGTTTTTTTTGTAGAAAAGGTTTCCTTAGGTTCGTTTTTGCCGAGAATAGAATTCAAATTATATTCTTGATTTTTTACTGTTGTTGATTTGGTTGTATGATTTAATTTTGGTGCAGTTTTTCCTAGAATATCGTCTAATATAGACTGCGATCCTTTTGCTTTATCTAAATGTTTTACTTGTTCTTTCTTAGCACCCACTAATTCGTCCAATATATCCATTTTGTCAACACTTGTGCCAACTTTAGTTTTCAAAGGTGATTTTATATCAACTTTATTATTTAATACGTTGTTAGAATCAGGAAGTTCTATTTTTTTAGCTTCTTTAGTAGTAGCATATTTAAATGATGAAGAATTAGACTTCTGGCTGTCGGCTTTCAATAATATTTCGGAATCATCAGCTTTTGTGAGAGGTTTATTCACTTTTTCAAGATTGAAATCATTTGGCTTAGTTTTACTACCACTACCATCTAAATCAAATAAAATGTTTTTCTTTTCAACTATTGGTGTGCTTTTCTTCTTAAGTGATTTCTTTTTTCCCAATACATCATCATCGAAAAAACTATCATCACTTCCATCGCTTAAAATATCAGCTAAAGGATCGTCAAGATTAAAACTCATACCTTTAGATTAATGAATTTTACTAAAACGTTCTTAAATGTTTTTTTTTTTAAATAACTATATGGCCCTTGGTATTGTGATAATTCTTAAATGTTATTATAATAAATATCTCTTCTCTAATATAAATATGTTAAAACAATGAATGAAAATTTAACAACTTATAGACACCCGTTGCCATGGCAACTGAATAATACAACATGTTATCCAAAAAGGCGGCCCTATACATGTCCCTTAAAGAGTAATTATTAAATCACTACATCCTCAGGGAACTACACACTACAGCTAGGGGAGCGGTAAAACGAAACTGAATAACTTCAAAATATGATTATTTAACCATTATAGTTCTAAAATAAATAATAATAATAATATTTTGTATTTATTCATAAAACATGTTCCCGGGAATAAACTGAACCTGCCCGCCTTTCTTCGAATTATAATACACAATCCAAATAATCTCTGAAGAGGTAAGTCTACCTATAGGATTAAAAAAAATCCAAGAAACAGATCAGAAAGTGTATGCACTGTTTTTCCACAGAATTTCATTTTTAACATAATGTTAATTAAAAATAAACAGGTAACTACTTACATGAAAAATAAAACATGCATTATGTATTTCGTGTCCCCGTTTTTTATTTCATCAGCAAAACATTTCAAAATTATATTTCTTTATTAGGCATTTAAACAGAGCAATCTTATTTAACTGATTCCTACAAGTATCCATAATTAAATTATTAAGTTCACTTAAAACATCTTTTACAAAACACGCAAACTATCATTGAATTACTAAAAGGGTAAGGTCATAAGAAAATGTACTTTTTAAAAGTTTTGAATGAGCCCATGTTTGGTTGTGAATACCATACGGTAACAAAAGTATGATAATATTATTAATTTATAAAACATTGATAATCATGCGTAGAATAATGTAGAAATAACTAGAATATTCAAGTGGCTTAAACTTAAAAAAGAAAACATATTTCTTTGAATCAACAAAATAAAGCTGCACACACATTTGTCTCCTATTAAACTACAGGACGAAAAATTGGATAAAATAAAATAATATAGCATTATTGTTTTAAAATCGTAATTTACTTTGAAAGCAATAAAGATGCCGTGTGATAATGTATAAATTATTGCAATCATACAATGCTATTGGATAAAAATCTTATTCTAATTTGTGTCTCCAAAAGTTATCCAGTGATCCTGTGTTAGAGAACAGGAGAACGATCACCGTAGAAAATAGAGTCCAGAAATAGGTCCATGAAGTTGCACCCGGAAATAATTATTAAAAATGCGACTAGTATAAATCGATTGCGCGTAAAAGATGATATTTATCGGTACTAATTCTTTGTTTGCGCGTCAAATATTTGTTTAGATATTTAAAAAATAAGGCTGTGAAATAATACATTTTAATTTTTTGCATAAAAATGACGGTAAAAGAATAATTAAAAATGTAAATTTATAGATTTTCACATGCGCAATCGGCACCCTATATCAGTTTATCCATAAGTTATTTATTTACACCGTAAATAATTAATTAAATAATGCCATAACCTCAGCCGCAGCGTCCGAGCTCGAGAGTGCAATATTCCTAGAACGCTAGCGCTTAAAGCGCTTTTTTCTTCATACTATAAAGTCATAAATAATATAGGTGTTTGGCAAAGCTCTTTAGTATGGAGTGTAAGTGTAAGGAGTACAGACTGAGTGTTAAAAAGTGTCCATAAAAACCTTTAAATAGGGTGGCGCCACTATTTCACAGCACCCGCCTAACTTTTTTAAATATCTAAACAAATATTTGACCCGCAAACAAATAATTAGTACCAATAAACATCATTTTTTATGCGCAATCGATTTATACTATTCGCATTTTTAATAATTATTTCCGGGTGCCAACTTCATGGACCTTCCAGAAATATGGACATCATAAGTGAGGTGCTGCGATCGCTCGAGGTTCGGTCAATAAAAGTCATTTTGAGTCTATTTTTCCGATCAGATGCTAAAACTTGCACATCCACGCAACATAAAATATTTCTCCATTTTTTAATGTTTCTTTTTGTCAAAAATTACAAAATTACGGAGCATGAAAATGTTCTCATTAAAAATGAAATGAAAATTTGTATATTATTCAACTAACTTCATCTACTTGTACTCATAAACAGCTAACTTCGCAGTTACTACTCACCGATGTCAGCGCCGCTATACATTCTACAATTTTCAAGGACAGGCGGGCTATGCTTTAGTACGTATAGTGATCGTTCTCCTGTTCTCTAACCTTCATGCCTGTATATACTTATTATATATATCTTTGGTTTTGACATATTTTTTTTAAATTGTGGTCGTGACCGTAAACAATTGTAAACTCCATAATTTAGAGCACAAATTTCGGGCAGTGTGTCTGTGAATTCTACATGGGAAGTAGAAATATATCGTTTGCTATAAGGTTATAGGTTCCTGATTCGAAATTTATGGTCACTTGCCAGAGTATGTCAAGTTTTGTTAACGAAATCGAAATGTATGACCGGTATTCATTGTAGAGTTTTGAATTTTCGAGTGTGTTTGTTCTAATTCGTTACGTGTGTTATGGTATTTGTTACGTCACACACTGGAATGTTATAAAGGAGATTGTTCACATAATTAAACCGAGTACGGCGAAATGAAAAAGGTGTAATGTTAATCTGACGTATCTATATAAGAGTGGAGTGTTATACTATTCTGATTTATTGTTACTAGTGGCCCCTCAGTAGCCGAACTAGGTCCGTTTTTAATTAAGAGGGTCGTCGCCTTTCGTCAACTTTTCCACTCACACAGGACCGTATTTAAAAAATGTTTAATTGATAAGAAGCATTTTTTTAACTTTAATAATTGGCAAAATATAAATAAGTTATTATTAAAAACACATTTTAAATGTGGCTTTTGTTACATTTGTATACTTACCTAGTTTATTAGATAAAGACATGAAAAGTTTTTTTAATCATTACTTATTAAATTTATATTATATTATAGTTCGCCTGTTGATTACATTAAAAAGACGCATTTTAAATTTCAATTTCTTCTTAAATATGGCTCTGTGCAAACGGGAATAGTGTCAAATGGGATAGGACTCATAATTTTAAAAAAAAACTTCAAACTAAATTCCGTGATATGTGGTAATAATTGCAGTATCTGTGCTAATTGTTGATTTATAAACACATAATTGTGAATTCGTTATGTTTTTTTATGAATAATACCTACTTTGATTAGTATCTACTGTTTTTCGTTGTAAGCACATTATTGTGGCTTTAATTCTACTGTGTTGCGTTATTTTGATGTTTAGTTTCGCAAACATGCAAGCTGTAGTCTATGCATAGTCTAAGATTCTTTTTTGATTATTTAACCTTTACTTCATGAAAATAATTAATTCATAATATTTTATTATGGCACTACTTGAACCTATTTCCAAGTGAACATTGACCTCTATATTATTCCAGTACGTTATTGTGTTACCGTGTGCTATATCTTCCAGTGCATTATTTAAACTTTTTTAAGACATTACGCAAAATACTTTTTAATAAGTTAAAATTGTTAGCATGAATCAGAAGCAGAACCCAACTACACAAGATACCATAGACTCATAATTTAGAATATATTAAACGACCATAGTGTGCAAGGGAGAAGAAAATTGTTTAGGTTGTAGAGGTTATCCTATACATGGTGGTTAGAGAAAAGGAGAACGATCGCTGTAGAAAATAGTGTCCCAGAAATATGGACAAAATAAGTGGGGTGCTGCGATCACTAAGTTGTCTCAATAAAAGCGGACTGTTGTGCGCTAGTTTGAAACTTTGAGTATTAAACCAGAAGTGATATTACTATCTATCGACGCATGCGCAATGGCTTTAAATACTCACACAGCTGGCATTCACCATCTTCATCTAACAAGTGGCGTTGCGCGCTAACTCTCTCTCACATTATCTCGGATATCTCGCGTTTTTAACAGATAGCACTAATTTGCGGCTATTTTTTCACAGGCAGCAATATATCATCGTATTAGAAAAAAAGTCATGAACGTATAAATATTACCTGCTTACACCTGGATGCGAGGTAGTTAGGTATAAGTAGTTGTAGTCGAGGTAGCCGAGTGTGCAACGGTACCTTCTCGGCTTAATTAGTCCACGGTGGCTTTTGCACGGTCTCCTAATTTTTTCCCCTTTTTTTTTCTTTAACGCATGTAATATACGAAACTCTTCTTTTGCTTTAGTTTTATTTCTTATGTTGCGGTGCGTTACTTCTTATGGTAATTCCATATGTCACCTTCAGTATTATCGCATTTTCTGAATACATCTACTAAACTATACCGAAATACAAACAGCTGAATAACCGTGCATCCATCAAAATCAACATTTCAGAAAAGTGATTGTAACGAAATACGAAGTACCGTAAGCCGATAAAATAATTTCCATTACAAAATAACTATTACCTTATAAGATTGTACTTAAACTATTAATTAAGTTAAAGCTCAAACAATATAATTATTAATAAAAAGACGAATAAAGAAATTCCAATCCATTTTTAATATTAATTTGTAAACTTATATTAATTCATCACCACAATAAAAATTAATCACAATTACACATCTAAAATGAAATTACCGATTGAAGACATTTGCACTTCTCAAAATCGAGTATATTTATATTCGGCTGAAATACCATTAGCCTGTTTCTTAATACGTAATTAAAATTTTGGGGATTGAGCACTGACCTCTATATATACAAGTACGCTGGACTGGCTATACACCGTGACATGATGAAGCGATTTGATTTCCGCAGTTTTGGCGCTGACATCAGAAGTGCACGTCCGCGGAACTAATACTAGAGATAAGACAGTGTACCAAATTATATCGATAAAAAATCTATACCCTACCTATATCTAAATAAATAGAATGGACTCTATGGATAGATGGACTCTACCCGTAACGTCCATTCTATTTATGTATCATATTAATATAATGCCATTATCATTCATCATCATTAAAACCCTTCACAAATCCACTGTTGAACATAGGCCTCCCCCAAGGAATGCCACAAAGCACGATCCTGAGCTACCTGCATCCATCAACTTCCTGCATGTCTTACCAGGTTTTGACTCCATCTAGTGGGGGAACGTCCTACACTTCACCTGCCAGTATAAGGCTGCCACTCGAGAACCTTTTTTCCTCATCGATATTCGGTTCTTCGAGCTATATGGCCGATCAATTGCCACTTCAGCTTACTAATCCATTGGGCGATGTCGGTTACTCTGGTTCTGCTGCAGATATCCACATTCTTAAGTTTCAACCCCCGAGCATAGCCTTCTTCATTGCTCGTTGAGCGACTTCGAGCTTCCTAGTCGGACTATTTGTCCCAATAAAAATACTCATCAACAACTTCAGCTAAGTGCTCCCAAAAACCACCGGCATATGTGTGACATGGACATTACACATGACTTTTGTTTTGTCCATGTTCATCTTAAGACCTATCCGTTGGGAGACACTATTGAGGTCATTGAACATAGTGCGTAGGTCCTCCAGCGATTGTGCCATAAGGACTATATTGTCGGCAAATCGAAGGTGAGTGAGACGACATTGACGTTAATACCGTATCCTTTCCAGTCCAGTAGGTTGAAAACGTTTTCAATGCAGCGGTGAAGAGTTTCGGGGATACAGGGATATTTCGGGGATATTACGTCACCCTGTCTTACACATCTCTACAGTTGGATTAGTTTTGTACTCTGGTTCTGTACTCGGATAGCCATCATAACCCTTAACCATTCAACTAAAAAATTATTAAGATTAAACTAAGTACACAAAATAAAAATAAAAACATAATTTCTAGAATAATTTATTGTCAACCGTTCATTTCGTTTTAGTATTATAAAAAAACAAATCAGCTGCTATAATAACGCCTATTCTAATCAACGACAGGTCTGTCTATTGACAGTAAAATATTTTATACTATATAAAAATTTTTGTTTGTTCGTACTTTCTACGATGCCATACCGTTCATCAGATTGCGGTAAAACTTAGTCAACTTATTGGTTGCACTTGTGCGAAGGTTATACGCATGGTACAATTAACTGACACTAGGTGGCGTGCCTATTATCCTGACTATTTATTTGAAAGTTATAGAAAGTTATATATTATTCTATTTCAATGATTGTATTATCATTCCTAATTATACAATATAACTGTTCCACATTTTTAACGATATTTCCACAATTATTTCTTCTGTGGCAGCAATGCGCCGGGTATGAGCTAGCAAGATAATATAAAAAAATTGAAACTTTGAATTACATAGGTATCAGTTATTTACAACATCATTCTCGAAATTAAAATTACAATATTAAAAAAATAACTGAAATTATCAATTTCCGAGCCCGATATGTGAATGAAGCCAGGGAGAAACGAGCACTTGGAAGCGTCAAGTGGTGAAGCCTCACCAAAGTCGCGAAAAACAGTCGAGTGGCGCATCGCCAATCGCCATACCAACACTCCTCTTCCCTTACGACTCCACCTCGACTACAGCGGTAAAGGGAGAGGAATCTCCTCTAGCCGCAGCCCACATCCAACGTGGCTCGACATCATCAGGCGACCTTTCGACACTTGGCTATGGCCCTTGAGTTTAGTGGAAAATGGGGAAAGAAGATATGAAAAAAAAATATTCGAAATAATAATCTAATACTTAGTACTTAGTAGTTGGTAGTGCTTGGTGCTGGTACTACCAGAAAAAATTGTCGGTATACTGCACTTTTTCAAAGTGGTGTAGTTCTCATGTCTAATAAAACAGTCGTCTGTGAAATGTTTGGAACAATTATGATCATTTTGTTTCGGACGCCAATTCACAATATTTATGATTTTAAGGCAGTTGGAAACCTGTTAATTAATAAACATTTGATAATCATCTGTTGTTGGAGACTTTGTTTATTAACAGATATGGGTAGGAAAAAACATCGATAAGTATTATAGACAAGGAACTCGACAACCCTATTGAATTTTATTGTTTATCAAAACTCCGTAATATACAACCAAACATGTTGGTATATATGATATTAAGATTAGTAACAAATTTCTAAGTACTTATATTATTAAATAGTTTAAATTTGTCTAATATTTACTGCAAATTCACTTACTTGTGAAATTTTATACCACTTCCCTTTTGGTAACGAGTTTTACAGATTACGCACCCTCTCATTATTAATAAAAATAATTCTTATTATGTAACTAATATTATACACAATCAAACAACATAAAATACTTTCGTTTTTTAGTTTAAAAGTTCAAAATATAGACTTATTATATATGACAATATGAATAAGACAACATACTTTGGCATATTATGTCAATTTTATTTTTCAAGACATCCTTTAGCGGCGCTTCAAATTGGCACAGTCATTTTATATGGTATAGCCAGTCCAGCGTACTTGTATATATAGAGGTCAGTGGGATTGAGTTATTTCTACTAAATAAATATTCTAACTTTAAAAATTTAGGCGTTACCTAACTTTGACATATTTTTTTTCGAATATTTATTTTTCGGTGACATAAAATTCTTGATAATCATCGTTCGCAACTTTTAACATACGGAATTTTATACCTTCGAATAATTGGTTATTTCGTAACCTTTGACGGCAAGCCAACATCGTTCCTAAAACATCGCTCATGAAGAACCACGTTTATGAACGATATATCAATGTTTGAAAGAATTGATCGTTTTCATCCCTAGTCGCGCATCGAATAAGTGTCCTAACTGCCCGAAGTGTTATTACACTTTTCAGTTTATACAAAGGTATTCTGTGATTACACTGCACGGTGGCAAAGGCACTGCAGACTGGGTCCACTTTGTCACCCTAGTTAGGGACCCTTACTCCTACCCCTACTCCTACCCTTACTCTTATTACACCACCCTGATTAAAAGCGTAGGGACTCTGATTCAGGGCAGTGTAATAAGGGTAATAGCCAGTCCATCTCCAGCGTACCTATATATTGTTGCGCGCCTAAGTTGATGTCTGGTACCTAGCATTAGCGCCATCTAGTGTCGGGGAACAGAGCATGGAGGGCTTTCTAGAAAATGCCATTTCTGAACTTTCCACCAACAGCGCCATCTAGTATCAAATGGAAGAACTAAGCTTACTAGAAAGCCCCACACTCGAACTTTCTGCACCTGGTTGGTCGGGGCCTGTATTTGCTGGAATATTCTGGATGTCAATTTTGGTAATTCAATCGGCAGTTTTTATTGTCACGAACCTTAAGCTCGTAACAATATCATAGATTACGGTGTAATATACTAGAGACTATATGGAGGTCAGAGGTTGGAGTAGAGGAAATTATTAGTAGTGTTAATCGCACTGCTAGTGCTTTTAAAATATTATAAAGTATACCTATTACGTAGTAAATTATTTTATATAAAAATTTTGAAGTCTTCACGTAATGTGTACATATTTATTCGGTATTAGTATTTTTATTATTCTGAACGCATATGTTACACACAACTTATTGTGACAATGACAATTAACTCAAGTGACATTTGACGAAAAATTTGTTGCTTCACGTCAGCTAGTCGGCTGTATTTTTAATTATTTTTTCAAAACAACGGATTTTTTGATCACTATTATCTTATTTAATAAACAACATTTTTTAATTCCATTTAAATATGGATTGTATCGGTAAGTTTATCAAGATATTTGCTGTAAATTTTTTCGCCGCACTTTTTGACATCTTTGTGGTTTAGTATACCGAGGTCTTTTGTTCTAGAATTTTGCTAACTCACGATTCATTTTTAGCTTCAGGGAAAGGTGACACGACAGAAAATTGTGATCCAAATTCATTATCAAATGGTACTTCTAAGACTGCCGTAGACAAACAAAAAACTGATAGTGAAAAAACACTCGCCGAAGCTCCCGCAGAGAGTACGGCATGTACGTCGGAATCAACCGAGGACTCTGTTGTCTGCGAAATTCCGGAACAAGTCGAATTTACGGTAGTTTTTAACAAAGTCAAACACGACATAACATTTGCTTACGATGCGACTGTATCAGAATTAAAAGCCCATCTTGAAAGAATATGTGGAGTACCACAATCGGCGCAGAAACTAATAATTAAAGGCATGGCTCGCGACAATATGACACTAAGGAAAGCTGGTGTTGTTAAAGGTGGAAAAGTCATGCTTGTTGGCTCTAAAATGGATGATATATTAGCTGTAAAAAGTGCACCAAAGGTATGTAAACAAACAAATTTTTTACCTGAATTCTTACATACTTTACTTTACATTATATTATAAAATAACAGTATTATATTTTATACACAATATTTGTTTATAGTATCATTATAATTTTCCCATATTCAGGAAATATCAGACGAAAAATCAAGTAGTCAGACAAATAAGGAACCACTTTGCATGCAGAAAAATCACAGAAAAGTCCTTGATAAAGGTATTCCACCAGATGTCATGCCTGGGATAAAGGGAGTTAAGGTATTAAAAGTACCATTATGAAAAACATGTATATAAATAAACATGTATGGATTAAATATGCAATGTCTACAATAAAAATGATGTGAAATTTATTTTTTATAGGAACCTTTGCCCCCAATCCCGCTTAGTGGAATGTTAAATAAGCATGGTGGTAAAGTAAGATTAACATTTAAGCCAGAACAAGACCAACTTTGGGTTGGTACAAAAGAGCGTACTGAGAAGCTTGCCATGACATCTATTAAAAGTAAATATTAACTGTTTCTACTTAATGATTATAAATTTGACAAATAGTATTTTTGCTCAGATAAATTCATATATCAAATTTAATATTTTGAATATGTTTTTATAGGTATAACTTCAGAACCAATCAAAGATCATGAAGAGTATCACATTATGGTAAGTTAAATTTCTATATATTCTCAATGCTTAGAAGTACAGTTGTAGCACAAATGGGTCGGCTCGACCGGAGAGGGACCACTCTCTCACAGAATACCAGCATGAAATAGTAGCTTAATGGTGCTGTATTTCGTATGGTGAGTGTAGAGAACCAGAAACCCTTTTTACTGGAAACAAGGCATTCCATCTTATTCCTCACGGATGACAATGCATCTGCATTTTAATTCGTAATTGAGGATAGATGACTATGGGCCACAGCAACCACTTACCATTAGGTGGACTGTGTGCTCGTCTATTAAAAAAAATGCTTTCTTGAACCAGAGTAATTGACATAGCCTTAGGAATCAGTAAGATGAAGTGTCAATTGGCCAGCCATATGGCTTGAAGAACCAACAACCAATAGGAAATAAAGATTCACCTTGTACCTGTAAAAGAAATATGTAAGGCGACTCCTAACTAGGTAGAGTAGCAACTGGAACATATGCAGGTAGTTGGGGGAGGCCTTTGTTCAGCAAGGCACTTGTGAAGGGCTATTAAGGTAATGATGCTTATGAAAAGTAATTTTTCTTGTTTCAGGGCCTTCAATTAGGAACCACAGAGGCTTCAAGATATTGGGTCTACTGGGTGCCAGCTCAGTATGTGGAAGCCATAAAAGATGCAGTACTTGGTGTTTGGCAGTTCTTTTAACTGAAAAAATTGCCCAACTTACTGCCCATTTATAGTCATTTCTTTTTATGAGCTACTTGGGTAGATGCAATATTACTTTTTGAAACTAAATGGATCCCTAGTACTCAGCCATATGTTGTCTTGATGTAAACACTTATTTGATTTAATGCCAAAATTTTTCAACTTTTGGATAGAATATGGCTTTCGTTTTTTATAAAAATTTATTTTACTAGGGTTCTCATTTTAAATTTTGCTGGTATTTAAGCAACACTCATATCAACATAATATTTGTTATTTATATGAGTATTGTTTATATGCTACGTGTATTCTTTTGTGATAAATATGCCATGTCAATTAAAGTTGTCCATTTAAATACTGGCATCTATGTATCTGGTCAAATCAGAAATTATTTATTTCATTTGTAAATTTGCATTTTATGCGATTTGGGTTCATGCTGTATAATAATTACTAATAACAACAATTTTTATTGGAAACATTAATGCTATATCAGTGAGCATTTGTAATAACTCAGCTTATTGCCTCCTTGAGTTTTAAACCTGATCTCTATGTGACCTTTTACAATATTTGGTAAGTAATTTATTTGTAGGATTAGCTGGAGTATTAACAAAAGCTGTAAAATTTTTTTCATAAATATCAGAAGTAGCTCAATTTAAAATATATAATATAAATGGTTTATAACTGACTAATTCCAGCTAATTCTTCATTAATTTTGATCATAGAAATAGAGGAAAAAATGTTTTGAACTAACTTTTTTTTTCATTTTACCTATCCCATATTAAATAAAATAAATCATAAGATATAAAAACCACTTTATTGAATACAATAGAAATGTAAAATCCTATAAAATTATTAAATCTAATAATATAGTAGTTATACTACATAAAATGGCACTTAATATTTAAGATTGCATAATCTTCAATAAGTTAATGTTAACATAAAAGTTGTAATAAATATTTGGCATGTCGATATGTATAAATAATTAGTTTTTGTACTCTCTTATACTTATATTGAAAAATTAGCTTAACCATATTCAGATTGCACTGTCATAGAAAACTGCCCCTTGGGAATACTTGTTGCGTGGTACCAGAGCCTTGTGTCCAGCAATACTGAAATCATTTAAAAATATTCTAATTAACGATAAAATAAATAGAAATAACTATAAATCTATTTTCATGACAAGAATAAAAATCATAATTGAGATTAAAAATCGAAAACATTAAAAATAGTTAAGATGTAAAATTCTAAAATAAAATCTATTCTATGTATTAGTAACTTTTTAATAAAAGTTAAAGAGGAAATCGCAAAAAAAGTTTGAGATTATTGTGTGGAATTTTAAACTTTTCAAAAATGTATAATTCAGTATTTTATGATGATTTTTTACATTTTTCTGAAATTGGCTTAAAAATTGGTGTCAACTGTCTCACTGTCTCCATTGTTGATGATAAGGTATGATGATAGATTATTAAAATATCAGAATTTGGTTATTTTTATACAATAAGTACACATTATTTCTTGTATAATTTTTTTATGACAAAACTAAAATATGTCCAATGATTATGAACAATTTAATATAAAAATTTACGATGGGGAAGGGACAGCTGCTGGTACAGAACATATTGCAAATTTTTATAAGGATCTATGAGTGACAGTTATTGCATAATTAAAATCACAAAAATTGAGAAATTTTTGGCTTCGACTAAAGTTAACAGTGACAGCTCAGGAAGAATAAGTGTACATTTTAAAAAGATTTATTATATCCCGAAATATAAATTATATCCCACGATTGCCCTTCACACTGTGAGATATATCTTTTAACCAGTGTGGTGTTCGTCATTGGACGATCTGAGGACGTAGCGGAGGCGCGGAAGAGTGTGCGGGGTACAGGAGGGGAAATATAATATGAAAATATCGCTTGGTCGATCGAAAAAATAGTTATAGTTTGGGATGTAATATGTATTATATCTCAGTGGAAACGGTTCCATTTAAGAGTACGGTGAGCGTTATTAATTTATATCTCGAGATGTAATATAAATTATATTATATCCCATAGTGGAAAGTCGGCTTAACAAAAAAAAATGATTTGAAACTTTTTTAGCACTACCAATGTGATACAAGAAAGTACTTTTTTGTTTACTGTTTCTAGATCCAGGACTAAATTATAAGGATAAAGCCTAAATTAAGGTGAGACTTCATAATTTGGTAGTCATATGTGTAAGATAACGCAATTCATTCTCAACTCACCAACATCACCAGGCTCTACATAATATTGAATCCTGTGACAAACATGTTCACATTCTGGAACTGGGGCAAGTGACCAATTTTTACTTCCTTTTACTTGCCCTTGCCACATGAGACGAGGAATATAGTCTAACTGCAAAATAATTAATATACTTGTTTTTACACACTTAATTATAAAGTATTTAATTTGTTAGTACCTTTTTTAATCAATCATTTAATGAATATGTTCTTTATTGTGTACCAAATCATATTAAAATAAAAAGAAAATGTATTATATAAAGAATATATTATATTCACTAGGTGGTTTTCCTTTTCTGGCTGGGAGCCCAACTGGGTAGGTGCCACCCTTTCACCATTTTGGCTGCCAAGTGGCAGTTCATGTACAATTGTGCTCCAGTCTCAAGAATATAGACCACCAGTATACTCGTAATTGCAGGCTGTGAGGCATTGCACCTTAGTCCTGTCCTGTTAGATGATGACAGTTGAGAATAAATATGATAGAAACAAGGAAGGGCAAGAAGCATGACAGGAAATATTGATTGGGCATTAACCGCTCAATCCCCTAGCGGTCTCATGAGACCACCCACAACACTATAACCCATTAAAACTTATATTTAAAGACTACTTCTCTGTGAAGAAGTTGGCATTATAGAATCAATATGAAATTTTCTAGTTGAATAAAAATTCAGTTAGTCTATAGATATTCATTTATAATCCACATTCCAACTGTGTCATTGTCAAGTGTTTGTTGTTGTACATTGTTGCGTTAATTTTTGGATTTTTCTAAGTTAAGAAGTTTTTTATATTATAAAATTGTTATGAAAGTTTTTGTGTGAATATAATTTATATTTTTATGTAAATAATTTCGAGTAATATATAGAAATAATAGTAATTTTCATGCTATCGACATCCGCTTGGTATGTACTCGTAAGTATTTTTGTAATGATTCTATAATGCCAAACTTTTTTATAGAAAAGTAGTCTATAAATATAAGTTTTTATGGCATGCGTCCGTCAAATCAGCACTTTAAACCTTTAAAACTTTTAACTACTTTCAAAGAGTTTTTTATAAAAATTTTTTCATATTTAAAAATTAAATATTATATGTTTAAAAGACGTATAGATTTTTGATTCTTTTAATTTTATTTTGCGGGGTTGCATGCTACTGCTCAGGATTTGAGGGCCGCATGCAACTGCATGGGAATTTTAAGAGGACTGAGGGGTTAAGCTTTGAGTCGATTTTTTAAGGAAAAAGGGGACTGGGTCTTTTAAATATTTTTAAGTTTAAGTATATAAAAAACTACCTGGTGTTGGTACAAGATAATCCATCACCTCATTTTATACCTTATGTCCAAAAAGATCTTCTGACTTCTGATAGATGGTCATATAACCATTTCAATAAAGACTGATGATGGGGACCAACATCAAAGGTGCAAGCCAAATCTCATTCCACCTACCAAGCGTAACAATCAAGGCAAATCCTACAACATGTTCCATGCCCAGTGGTAGACTTTTTATTTTATTTATTTATTTAAATAGATACACCAACGTCAATATCAGTAAACATTGTTACAATCAAAATACTACATTTTTAGATAAAGCATATGTCTTTACAGGCGTATACTAATCATGTATAAGAAAAAAAACTAAACAACATATAAACTCTAAAACAAAAAGAAATTAAACTAAAAAATCAAAGTAAAAGCATCAAATTCAGTAATAATTACATAAATAATAATTTTGAATCATTAATCTGGCAAGGCAGGTACCAGTAACTCTTTACATTTTCTTTTAAATACACGTTCGGGGTCGCTAAAGATGTCGATGTCATGATTGTTTAAGCTGTTGTAAGTTCGCATACATCTGCTTAATGGAGAAAACTTGCCTAAATTGGTTCTACTGATGGGAATATTGAACAAATTTGTAATTGGGTGTCTAGAAATATGATAGGGGATTTTAAAACACACTTGCTGCAGTAAACTTGGCGAAATTAACTTACCGTGTAGAAGTTTATGTAGCGTCATTAAGTCTAAAAGTTTTCGTTGGTCAGTCAGTGAACTCATTCCAAGATGAGAAAGCCTAGAGTTATAATCTTTATATTATGGACAGTTTTAAACTTTATATGCAATGAATCGAGTGAAGTTTTGCTGAATATGCTCGATTCTGTGAATGTTAATTTTATAAGAAGGATTCCATATCACCGAGGCATATTCTAAATTGCTACGAAACAATGCATTATAGATAGTTATCAGAGTCTGAGCATTTTTGAAATCCTTACATGTACATTTGACAAAACCTAACATTTTCCATGAACGTGTTACCACATTATCCATATGTTCTATAAAGCTAAGTTTGTTATCAAGAATGGCCCCAAGATAACGGGTGGATGAAGATTCACTCAGTACCTCTTTATTAATGAAGTAACAAGATTTAACAGTGGATTTATTCTTTGTGAATTTAACGTAGGTACACTTATGAGGATTAAGTTTCATTTTATTACTTTTGCACCATTCATGGATAGCACCAAGGTCATTTTGTAAAGATAGAACATCATCCTGGTTTTTAATAGCCTTGAACAATTTTAAATCGTCAGCGAAAATGGAACAGTGGCTGTACTTAATGTTATGTGTTATATCATTAATAAACGCCAAAAAAAGAATAGGACCAATATGTGAACCTTGTGGTACACCTGATAGAGCCACATAATCATTAGACCTATATCCATGCAATATTACACTTTGTAATCTATTTTTGAGATAAGAAGTTTTAGAACTGTTAAGAAGACGAGAAATAACAACTAATTAGAGAATTATAATTACATGCATTACAGCCCCCATCTCATATCCAAAGAATATATTTTCAGTTTCTGGAAACTCTGCATCTTCTGGTAAAAATTCTGGAATACTATAATACTGCCTCACTTTAGCTAGTATATCAGCATGACAATTGGCCCTGAAAATTAATAAATAGTAATAAGTTGTAGTATCATGTTACTTTTAATGTGGCTTCTAGAAGAAAAATAAATATTATATAGCTGTGTTATAAAAGTATAAGAGAATCCTCAATTTTTTCCTAAGGGAGTAATAACATCTAATTTTCTTCTATAAAGTTTCTTTTAAAAAGATCTGACCTTCAATTAACTGTATATGGTTTCATCATGGGTGTATCTAATGAAAATTACATTTTATGATTTATAATCATATTTTATATTTTTATGTATTTCCATTCATTAAAAATTATAAAATCAACATATTCATGGTGTAAAATTTACAAAATTGTGGAATTGTGATAATGTTATTACATATTTCTGTTCAGGTTTCAACAGGAAAAATTACAAATTTGTAAAAAAAAAACTGGTTTGTTAAACACAGAATTGTACAAGTCAAAAGCTAAAATTATTGTAGAACTGTATAACAATTCTGATAGATGGTCAGTGATTACTATTGTTAAAATACAATAATTTTCATTGAAAATGACAGGCAGTGTTTTATAATCTTAAACACTTGACTTTATAGCTTTATAATGATAATATCAAGTTTAAGCTCCAGCTAGGTTTTATATATACACAGGTCCCAAATTTCAGTACATAAACCTGCAACTTAAAGAGCGAGCTACATCGTAAAATATTTTTGTAAGGATAAAATGGTATTATACAAATATTTAACAATGTTACTTTTACAATTTTATAGCACTCTTGAATGGTTTTACCGTACAATTCAACATTTATGTTGTTTTTCAACAAATTTGTCGGATTATTATATTTATCTTACATTTAAAAATAACTGTTACAGGCTAATGAAAATAAAGAGTATTTGTATCACTCACCATCCAACATACCAAGGTTTTTGCCCTGGTTCATTCCTTACTCTCTTATCAGGCATATTAAATACATCTTTTAATGAAAAAAGATCAGATTTAAAATTGAGAAATTGACACCCTTCATCAAAACTTTCATAACTTCCTATTGTCTGCTCATAATATCTTTTGAACATGTAAAAACTAAATTCTTTAGTTGCTCTCCAGTGACTGATAACGTTTTTTACTATAATAGGTTTGGATGAGTAAGCATATTTCTGAAAAATCAAACTAAGTTAAAAATTATTAAATATGAAAACCTGTCATTATTGAAAAAGCGTAGTTTTTTACCATAAAATCATTTCGAGTAATGTTCCGTAATATAATAGGTTTCGTAACGTTCGCACAGTAGTCACAATCAGCTAAAGGCCGCGTTGCTTCCCACACTAAATAATTAATAGGTACTAGACATCTCGTGTTTAAGATATCATAAACTACACTACTTGTAAAAACTAATAACATTGAAATTACTATTACAAGAACTATCAACTTTGTGCTAGGATTCCTAACTGTTGCTTCTTCAAAATTACCAATATAATTATATTGCTTTAGTGTTTTTTTCCGAAGTCCATTTTGAATTGCAATTACTTGTAAATTTCTTAAACTCTTCTTTATGTATTTAACGTCCAGATAAGATTTTTGCATCATGTCATCTTAATAGTTTGTAAATAAATAAGTTTTATTTTGTTAAATATGTTTTGTTATTATGTATTTTTTTTTGTTTTGTTTTGTTATTTACAAACACCTTGAATATCAATAAAGTTTGTTTGCATAGATAAATATATATGTAGCAAGCTATTTGTTTGACACTTGTGACCATAGATAAGAGTGTATCTCTAGTATATAGTCAGTAATCTATGGAGTGTATATACGGAAACTTGTGATATGACTATAAAGATGGGTTAATACCTATATTTGTCAGTAGTAGTTAATATGAATATATTCGTCAACTGATATTATAATATTTCAATTAATATATGAATATGACTGATATCTTAATACGACGGTTATACGTATTACTATTCTATTAATGTAGGTATTAAGTTTATATTATAAGTTTATATGATACCAAATTGTGATACAAAATGCTTTGATAAATATTAATGTTGTTATTAAATGATATTATAGTATAAAAGTATTATCAAAAGTGATTTTAGGTGACTATAATAAAAATAAATTCCACTGCACAAAACAAGGACCCTTGTTTTATTACTTTAAATTTTAGTGACGATTTACGATACCTAAAAATATGTGGACACATTTTAATAGAAGTCATGATCTTAACAAGAGCTATGGGGAAATACCATGACAATAAAACTAATATATCCCCAATAATTTTATTAAAATAAAATATATAAACTGAAAAAACTTTACTATATTAAATACACTATTAAAAACACTACTAGAGAGCCAACACAATATTAGACATCTATATAGAGTTGTTTTATTTGTAAAAATACTTGTAAAATATCCAATTGAAAATAGTCCCTACGGTTTAAGCAATAGAAAACTAATATTCCCCAAACACTCATCGGTTAATTCATTCGGCTCGGTCACTCGCACCGCTCGCCATACTTACTATACGAATGATACAGATATCGGTTAACAACGTCCAATGATTTGTTGAACGGTCGGTATATTAATGAAGTGAATATGAAATATTAGCATATCAGAATCTGTTCGATTACTGATCTATGAATTCAACTAATATTACTAATATTTTAATGAATACGAATATATCGGTTACATCTTTATGTGACTATAAGAAACACTAAGAGAAAGCCCTTCCTACTGCTCCTGTAAATCCAAGATTCTACAAGCGGTACGTAGACGACACTTTCACAATTTTACCATCTGACACTAGTAGAGTAGTAGAGTAACTGCATTTTTAAATCACCTTAACGCTATAAACTCTAAAATACAATTCACAATGGAGTTAGAGGAAAATAATTCTTTAGCTTTCCTAGATGTTTTAGTCATTCGAAATCCTGATAACACAATTGGTCACACTGTGTATAGGAAAAGGACCCATACCAACCGATATTTAAATGGTGAATCTCACCATCATCCTTCACAGTTAGCTACTGTGGGTAAATCTTTGTTTCAGAGAGCACGAGGGATCTGTGACAGAAAACATCTGGCTGCCGAGCTTCCGCACGTCAAGCAAGTATTGCAAGACAACAAGCTTCGGGTCCCGCGCCTACGTCACAGTGACCGAGTGAAGCCGGCCACAGTCGAGCATGTACCTGCTGTACTACCATATGTCAGAGGAGTCACAGGTTGGCTACATCTTGAAGCGAGATAAATAAAAAATTCCATTAAAACATACTACAAGCCGCCGAAGAAGATTAGTCAATTTTTACCATCCGTCAAGTGTAATATCCCTCTACAAAATGCAGGAGTGTACAAGTCAGATTGTGAATGTGGTCTCTCTTACATAGGTCAAACATAAAAGATCCATAAAAACCCGCATGAAAGAACATATAGCTGACGTGAAGCACCGACACACACGACAACATGTTCAAAATCGTCCCCACCATTACATTCGATTTGATAAACCACAAACCCTCGCAAAAGAACACCGATTCCTACCAAGGATGATACTTGAAATTAAAAAAGACATCCAAATTTCAATAGAGAAGATGGATAGGTGCTGCCACCAGCTTGGGATCCTATAATTAACAAAATTAAACGCAAACCTAAGCATAGAAGACCGTAAGCTCGTTTTACGTAAATCGGACCAAAAATTAATATTCAAAAACTGAAAACCAAAAATTAATATTCAAAAGCGATAAAATCCGTAAATTTAATTTTATTCAAATAATTTACATATTATGACTATGGTATGACTTTGGTCCCTTGGGAGAGAGGTAAAGCCCTAGTGTGAGATGCTACTTGCGTTGACACTTTGGCGGCCTCTCATCTCAAGGGTACCTCTTTGAGAGCCGAATTAGTAGATAGCCTTGCTTTTAAACAGAATTTAAGAAAAATGTGTAACTTATAATATGATGGATTATGCTAAAATAAAAGTAAATTTAAAATACATTATTAATATATTTTACACTGAATGTATAGGATAAAATTGAAAAATTTAATATTTTTTCAGGAGGATGTAGCAAACGTGGAAGGACCTAAGCGTGATGATTTAGTGATGGAAAAACCAAACACTGTGGGCCTTTAATTTAAAAAAAAGTTATAGTTATCATGTAATGACATACTGTTATATTTTTATTGATGCTAAATAATATTCGCGCGTCCTGGACCATAAGAGTACGCCCTCTATTGCACAGATGTAGTTAGGTGTTAAAGCTAATGGTCTGAAACTTGCAATATTACCGCGTATTGTCCTCCTTGGTTTACGTTGATAATTTTATAAATGATCTTTCTGATACAGTCAGCTCATTCTCAGCCTACGACTACATTATATATTATAAATTTCGTGCGCTTTGTTTATCTTTATATATGTTTATATTTCATACATCTATTTTTAAGTAAGGTGGTGAATACTCTGTGACGTTCTTTTTAGCTTAATAAGTATATTGTAAATCCGTAATTGGCTTCAAGACCTATTTTATAAGATTTGTGTGTAATTTAGATTGTTACAAGCTGTGGATTTTGTGAATAATAAAAATAAAAATAAATAAATATTCTGTTAGGAGATTTCAATATTAATTTGCTTAGCTAATTAGCTCAGTGATTTCCTACTGTGTATGGGTCTAAGGCGGTACGTCACACAAGCGACTCATTTTATTGATTACTCGGAAACTTTAGTTGATTTAATTTGCAGGAGCTGCGATATATCTAATATACAGGTTGACGACTATGTGCCAGATCTGAGTCATCACGCTTTTTTATCTTGTGAGCTGAACGTAAAGAAGCAAAAGTAATTCTCAACATGTAAATACTTATAGACCAATTAAGGATATAAACGTACCTAAATTTAATTCTAATGTTGATGCTGTATTGTGGGAAGAGTTGCTTTGCGGTGACGTAAACAGTTCTGTAACGGCTTTCAATGCACATATATTGTATGTGTTTAATATTCATGCATCAATAAGAACGTCTTACATAAAATGCCAAAGCTATCCGTGGATTACACCAACGATTAAAGAAATGATGAAGCGAAGAGATAAAGCTCACGCAAAATGTAAAGGCTATAATTCCAAAGGAGACAATAATATTATAAAGATCTGAAGAGTACTGTTAGTAATGCTATGTTAATATACTAAGTGAAAAAACAGTCTACTTTAGCTGTTTTATTAATAAAAATTCAAAAAATCCTCAAGTACTTTGGAGAATAATGTGGTAGACTTCAACAAAAAAGATATTGCTTTGCCATCAAACTTGAATGATCCATACTAAATCAGTCCTTCAACATTATGCTATTTTGAATCTAATCCTTTCAATTCGTCGGTTTTTACTTTAAAATTAGTGGATGAAAATTTAGTATCAGAAATTTTGAAAAATATTTCCCATAATGCTATGGGTGTTGATGGTATTACTAAAGATATTATAGTTCTCTTAACAATGCCACGGACTTTGAAAATAATAATGTCGGCGACAAGTGATGAACTGTGTTTTGTTCATAAGACTATTATAATTTCCAAATTAGTGTAGTTAGTGTCGGCGACAAGGCATACAATTTACCAGTGACGAACTGTGTTTTGTGGAGCGAAAATTTGTATTGAAAATGCTTATAAAAAATTTAAGTTTTGTTTAGCGCCTGGAAACTAGTGTTAAATTAAAGGTTTTAATGTAATGTAATATAAACAAAAAGAACTAAGTAGATTGGACATCTGTTTCAATAAATATGAGATAAAATGTATAGTAAATTAACAATTTTGTAGGGTTTTTGATCTAGAAATTTTATATTTAAGAAATTAATAGCTTATATTATTATTTTATATTATAGAACAGTACTAGAAAAATCTAACGATGTATAAATTGTAAGGGCTATATGAAGGTTATAATAAATAAATGCTCCTAAGGTTTCGGCTTGAAATAAAAACAACACGCTTTGTATTGTCGTCTGCACAGACTGCTTGGGTCCTGAAGGTCTCGGGCCTCGGGGTATGCCCCCATTGCCCGGATTGTCCTTGCGGTCCACTACTATGGACCGGTCCTGGGAGCCTTATTCAGACGTTATAAGATGTAAATTTGGATTTAGTCCGTATTGGTCATTGAGCTACGTACTAGAGGCGACACTGCATTCAGCTACTCTGTTCCACTCAACTGCAGTGCATGCACCGCACTTTAATCAGTCACTCCATGGGCGTGCAACTTAGAACATTATTTTGAGAACAAAGTGATCTTTTTTGTGCTGCCATCTACATTGCTAAACATTAGACTAGACTTATTTTAATCCAAATAGAGGGCACGCTTATATATTAACTTTACGTATACGAAATGATCTATGTTCCATGCGCACTTTACTACGCAGTTAATGGCGGTCACTGGTAGTA